CACAGAGGGCTACAGCGAACTTGATCCTTCCTTTTCCAAAACCCACAGACCCTGCCGCTCAGCCAGGAAGGGATTTTTTTGTTAGCTTTCACCTAGAGGAGCTTTATTGTGCACTTGAGCCAACAGAGGGCAATCTACACAAAAACCAATATCAAGAAGAAAAGCTTTTAGAAAAGACAATTCTAAGCAGCCCAGCCCTTACTGTATCTGGAGTCACATATCACAGTGAAAGGCGGCATTCCACGCTGGACCTAAAACCTTCTCAGGCTCCATCAATTAAACCACCACATATGGAGTGGAAGAGACTCAGCAAGGAACTCTCACTAAGGTTCAATGAAAAGCAGATGTTGTGGGCACAGCTGTCATGCTTCTTATCAAGAGCAACAGAGCAGCAGTTCGTCAGGAACTCTGCTCTTCCTTCCCTCCAGCCCCAGCACTAGTCAGAATCCCTAACCAGGACCAAATTCATGCGGCCAAAGCATGCAAGAGCCCTCCCCAAATATTGCTGTTTACATTAGCGTAATGTTTATGGATCTCTAAACCAATGCCCCACTGTGATTGTCACTCCTACCTAAGTAGCTTCACTCACTCTCTTTAAAAAGTAATTTTAGTGTTGGCTCCAGAGCTAAAAGGGTTAGAAGGAAAGAGCTGTGTATTCCCTCCATAAGATAAAGCACTGGCCAGCCTCATTTACATGAATTATAATGTATTTACCCATAGGGCTCACATGCTGTGTTTTGTTGCTTCAGATGGAATGCCAGATTGCTAAATTCCAATTGTATAAATGATAACAGATTGCTGGTGTGACTGTACCCGTGAAAGGGCAAGGGAGCTGTGCAGGGTATGCCCTGGAGGGCCTGAGTCATCCTGACCTACAAGCCATGAACTGCGCTTTGGAAATGTGGTTCAAAGGGAACATCTCTCCCGCGAGAGATTAGGAGGCCTATGCTAGGAAATGGGTCCCTGCCTAAGGACCTGTTTTGCTCTACATTTACTTAGTCCTTTTGCCACAAAGTGATTTTGCAAGACTGACTAGTGTGCTGGTGACAACAGCATTATTATTGTTTGCACTTGTAAGTGGTGCATTGAAACCAAATTTACCTAAATGCAATTACAAAAAAACAAATAAAAGAAATTAGCCTGCAAACAGAAAAAGGCATTTCCTTTGGCCTGGCATAGTGTTTGTTCGTGTGAGGAAACAAATATTTCAATTTCTGGTCAACTCAAGCCAGTATTTTTCTCAATTCAGCACTCAACTAAAACCAAATTATTCTCACAGTAATTCTCGTGAAGACTGCCGAGTGTCATTGTACTAAGTAGCACTTAGGTGGGTGAGGACTGTGACTTAGCGTTCTGGACTTCAACAAGTCAGACAATTAGTGTGCTTGTTGTCATATTGCTGTGTCCCAGCTCGACACCGCGGCGCCCGCATATCCTGCAGCTCTGACTAAGCCCCTGGAGCTGCAGTCGGGACAACGCAGGCGCTTGCCCTTCTGGCTGCAGAGAGGTCGCTTGTAAAGGTTACCATCTGCTGTCCAGCCTACAGCTGTTCTTCCCTGCCCTCACATGTGCCAGCATAACTGCACGTGTGCTCTCTGCTTGCTCTTCTGTCATAGCGAGCATGTGGTTTTCAGGAGCTTTTAAAAACTTCTTGTCGGAGCTTAAAAAAAGAAGAAAAAAAAAAATTTTCTAGCGTCTATTCTTGACTTCATTTACCAGGCATGAGGTAGAGGATTTGTATAAAGGCTGTTTTAAGATAAAGAGACATCTTACAACAATCTGATGGCTTGTCTGTGCAGAAAGCAGATTGCATACCAGGTGCTTCGTAAGCAGAACACAGTAATTTAAGGGCAAGTTTGATCTTTTGTGACCTTCGTGATATGTGGAGTCAGTGCACATGTTTTCTTTTTCTGTGCAGCTGATATGTTTTGGAAGCAGCATATGCATATGAGATCTGTGGAGCCAGGTAGTTACCTACTAATGTAAAAATAGCTTCTCTTTAAGTACTCTAATGGTCCAACAAGCAGATCTCCCTTGGGTTTTGCAGTGATTCATCGTGAGCTGTGTTTTAAACCTGACACCCTCCGGCACAGATGAGCTGCAGGTATGTTAACAAGAAGCTGCCCTAGCTAAACCTTCACTTTAATCTGTGCTAAATCTGATGTCCTAGCACTGCCCGATCATACAGGCAGGAGGAAGAAGACAGATGGAGGAACTGTTTGTTTACCCACTTAAATACAAGTGCATTCTTATTTTAGACCAGAAGCTGAGGTAATTACTGTCATGCATTATGGCTGTGTCTACACTGTTGTTTTAGTGTAGGACTTCAGTTTACCTTAAGATCCAGATTCCCCAGTGTCCCTACTAACATACTGGGCTGTCTTTCTACTTTTACTTTAGAAAGTGTCAAATGTCCCTATGGGAAAGGCAACTGAGGTGGAGAAGCAAGCTGGCAGTAGCTCTGTGGGTAATATGGGAGCCACTGCGCCTGTACTCAAGCCCCACTCTTTCTTATATTATTAAGGCATGAACCAGCTATATTACTGGCTATACATATAGGCTATATGTAGGCTATATATTAGTGTGTGAACTGTGCAGCTGTGAGGTAAATTGATAATGTTCCTGCTCAAAATAAAGTGCTAGGAGCCAGTGTGAAGTCAGTAGAGTTGTGAGCTGTTTTCAGATGGAGATGCTGCTCCTGACAAATTTACAGAGAATAGGGCAGTTGAGATTTTTGGAGGAAAAAAAATCTGTGGCTTTTTTCCAAGCCCTTCTTGGCATAAATCTATGTTTCTGTTTAATCTTTGACAGCAATATTAAAAAGTGTTTTGCTGCTGTTATCTTTCACAGACTCTGCTGCTTTCTGAGGACTTATTGTGTCTCCACAGTGATGGTAAGACTGTTTGGAGCGGGGACTAAGTCTTGGTTAGATGCAAACAGAATAAATATGATCACTGTTTATGCAGCTTCCGTGGGTCTTCATTCTTCTTGTGTTTACTGACAGAAAAAGACAACTGATGTAGTCTGAGATGGCTCATCAGAGACCCCAACAGTAGGAGGCAGGAGCAGGGAGGGTAGGAACAAAGCTTGCAGTACCTAGATTACCTTCAGGTGTCTTGGAACAATCTCTGCATGCATCTCTGACAGGGTACGGGAGGAAATCTGTGTTATTGGTGAGACTGCCGTATAGCTTTGGCCATAACACCTTCTTCTCCTCACTTATCCCAGGTGGTTGTTCTAGCCCCTGTACTGTAACACATGACAACTTCTCTTGTGTCTGATGTGGTATGGATTGGGGAACTGTTCCAGCTCTAAAGAAAAATATTTTTTTTTCTGAGTTACTTTTCAGGTGTATCAGTTCTCCACTGTGCTCACCAGAGCAGTTGCCCCATCATGTAGACTGGAATAGCTGAGGGAGCAGTGTGACAAAGCATGTAGGTAAGAATGGGTAGTATGAGATGGTAGTGGGAGAAGTGAGAAAAGCAGTAATACTCAGAGATTATTTTGTGCTAAATATTCTGTAATACCAAAACACACAGAAAGAAACTGAGTGCTCCAAGGAAGCGACTCATACTGGAAAATATTATTTAACTGATGCATTACTAAATGATGCTTAGCAGCCTCTGACACAGGGAGTCCTGACATAGATACAGAGTCCTTCAAAAAATGCACTTGATGCTGCGAAATCACTAGCGATTTTCCTTGGAGGAGGCTGGATCTTTCTTGTTCTGCTCTCAGAAGCTTGGTCAGTTGTTTGGCAGGAACTGCAGTATTGTCCAGGAAAGCACAGCTGTATGTCAGCGTTTTTGTGATGAAAGCACACGCTTTCTGAACATGCATTGCTCAACGTGTGCTTATGCTGCAAAGAGTTGGATAAACAGCCTGAGAAGCAGAAGCCTTCACAGCACAGCGTGTGGAGTTCAATGCAGTCAGCACAAAAACCCTTCCAGGTGCCTTTGCATCTCAGGAGAGTCAAAGCTGCACCACAGCAATTGCCTGACCCACCGAGTGGCGAGCAATATTTTCAAACAGTGTCTGTCTGTCCTTGTCTCTTATGGGCCTGGTCTTCCTCTTGGATGTGGTCTGCTTGTGATATGCAGCCATTCTCCATCCTAAAAGCAGTTCAGCCTTTGACCCTAGTCCTCCTATTCCAGAATTTTGTTGCTGTAATTATCAGAACTCTGCTTTTCCAGCCAATGTATTTATCTAAGTTTAATAATGAACAGCTTGTTTCCTTCTGTTCTTCTGTCCATATTGTTCACTAAAACAAAGCTCCTCTTCATGTCCTACCATTCCTGTGTTCCCAAACAACAACTTCTTCCAACTAGTCTCTGCTGACATGATAGTAGTCTGTACCATTTAATCAGATTAAATGGGCTAGGGCAGACTGATGTGCCTAGAACATGGCTTGTCCTACCATAGACAGTGGTTAAACATAAAGTTTAACTTCTTGTTTCCTCGTTGCTTGCTATAATCATAATTTATTAGGACATATGATTTGTGTAGAGGCATGTCCATGTTCTTTCTTCTGACCTTTCTTTTGGCTCCCTCTGGACCGGAAAAACAAATAGTGAGGGAGAGGCTGGGAAACGAAATCACCCTCTGAGATTTAGAAGAGATAGCTAGGAGACCCTGGATAATATCTGTGTTCCTTTGAAGTGAAGGCTAAGCAGATTAGGAGAAGAAAAGCATAATTGAATTTAAACCTCTCTTTTTCAGAGTATATATACTTTTACCCTGGCTAAGCAATTTCTTGGTGGAGGTTTTTATCACTTTCCAGCACCTGGTGTTTTAGGAGGGCAGAGATTATTCTGAACGAGTGCCAGCAGACAGCTTTTCTCACTGGGCTCTCCCCTGCCTCCACCCCCTGCCCTGCTCTAGACACACACCCCAATATAGAATGACAGCACACTGCCACAGTTTAAATGACACTATCTCCTCAGAAGGACGGGTCCTGCTGAGAGCACCAGCCACAGCAACTTTCTGCCCTTGCAAAAGAAAGACTTTGTCATGGCATATAAGGCGGCACATTTGGCTTTTAAGTCACGCTGGCATAAGACAGATGAAGAGCTCTGTCGGCACAGCATGTCCTTTATCTTGCACAGGGCGATCCGGAATGACTTCTTTCAATGTTACCTTTATCTGCTGGAAAAGCTTCCCCTGGGTGAGTAACTGGTGGGCAGTGTGCATGTGTGACTGCTTTCCAAAAGGACATACCGTGCTGGATGGTAGAATAAAAACCCGTTAGTGACAGTAACTGAGGAGCCCGGCTAGATACACTGCAGTGCCAGCTAGATCAATTGCTGCTTTCTTCTCAGCTTCCTCTGATTCAGTATCCTTCAGTGACCTCTTGTTTTACCTGAATACCCCACAAATTGTTGTCATGGAGGGGAAGGGAAAGACCTCAGACATAGAATCTGTTTTCTATTGATGGCACTGCTAGACACCTTTTTGTCACCATTAACTTGGAGCATACATTGACCTGTCCAGAACTTTCCGAGTTTCCAAGTTTCCAAAAGCAAAAGTATCATACCTGACAGGCCTTACTTTCCATTGTGTATTACCTGTTTTGCCTTTCAGTGTGTCCTTACTTTTGTCATATGTATTGCTTTGGCCAAGTGTTTGAAAGGTAATGATTTTTATTATTTTTTATCAAGGGCCTATGTAATAGAAGCTCTTGCCCATTGCTTATTATCTGATGGGAAAATACTTCCAAAGTGTTTGTTTATAGCCTGGTTTCAGGAGAGGTTTCTGGTTATAGGATGCCAAAATATTTAGGTACATAAAAAAGAAGCTCAGAATTTGGCCCTGTAAAACAATCAAAGATCTCCCTAGGACAGTATAGCTAAAAAACAGTTTTTACTTGATACTGTATTATGTTACAATGTCACTTTTTTTTTCCTTTTTATATTTTTTTAGCAGAGTTATACAGCTTCCAGTGAACATTAGCTCTGTAGGCATTTGAGATGGGAAGGATGTGTCTCTGCAACCTGCTAAGCTGCTCTTTCACAGTGAATTCCTGAGGGCTTCTTCCTAATTGAAAGATCTGTTTAAGCAAGTGGATTATCTTACCTGATTGTGTGAAAATACATGTACCACAGTTACTAAGTTACTCAAGTTACTAAGATTCAAAAATCTTGTGAAGAGAAAGGTATTTCCATGTATTTTAGTGTGTGGTGTGGCTTTGAACATACAGGTATATCTGCAGCTATCTAAAATGAATGAGAGAAGATAAATTGTCCTGTCCTCAATGGTAGATAGATGGGAAAAGTGGAAAGAAAGGAAAGAAACTTAATTATAGCTTAATTATAAGTCCATATAATAATCTTAAAAAAAAAAAAAAACTATGAAGATATTTCCATTTGATTTGAAAGTAAACACACTATATTAGAAACTAAGCAAAATTTCCTATAATATAGCTGTTAGTATAATGATTAATTTAAAGGGTTTAAAAGTTACCATTATGAACATCTAGCCTAAAATTTCACATAATGGTTCCAGTTTGTAACTTTTGGCTGGGCCAAATTACGTGTTTATGAAGACAAAAATACCTTGAGTGAATAGCTCCAAGTGAGTGAGAATTCATCAATCCGTCGTTAAGCTGTTTCCAGGCCTAATTGCTCTTCTGTTTTAAAACTGTATTTTATGTCTTGTCTGAATTTATTTGAATTTCCATTCCCAGCCAACAAGTTTTGTTAAGCCTTTGCCTATCTGATTAAAGAGCCCCTCTGCCAGATTTTTCAGGTCCTGAATCATTCTTACAACTTTTCTAAACAGTTTTCCATGTGTCAGCTTATTGCCAGCAAATCCAGATTAGTTGTGAGTCAAGCCTTGATGTGAACCTGCAGTTTGTCTGCTACTCCATGGTAACTGTCACGGAGTAAAAGTGACAAGAGACAACAAGCGTAATTTAAAACAATAGAGGTTCAGACTGGATATAAGGAAAAACTTTCTCCCCTTGAGGGCAGTCCAGCTTTGGAATGGGTTGCTCAGGGAGGTTAGGCAATTCTCCATCCATGGAGGTTTTCAAGGCCCAACTGTATGAAGCTCTGAGGAACTTCCCCTGATCTTGTTACACCTCTGCTTTGAGCACAGATTTTGACTAGAAGCCTCCTTAGGTCCCTTGCAACCTGGATTATCCCATGGTCATGTGCTGTAAGCATGGTGAGGACAGAATGTGCCAAATCTCTTCAGAATTACATTTTCCAATTCAGCTCGGAGTGCAACTGAAGAGAAATGCATTGAACTTTTCAGGCTCAAACACTCCGTCCGTGTAAACAGTGTGAAACCCCTTAAAAAGCACCAAGGCTGTCACCTAGCAGGGAAGTTCAGCAAGCGCTTAGCTCCACGCATCAGCAATAGCACTGAAACCAGGTCTCCCCTTGAAGGTTGTAGTGCAGCCCGTGGTCAGCAAGGCAGCAGCTTTGCTTTGAGCTGTCCTGGCTCCGCATTCATCCCACCCCTCCTTTTCTGGGTTCCGTGGTAGAGCTCTTAGGCATGTTTACCTATGAGCCGAGCATATCTGGTATCACAGTCCGCTAAGAGAAACAAGTCATGTTTACAGGCCTGAGTAATTTTTATAAATAAAAGCCGTGAGTAGCTTTAGGCCCTGATCCAACAATATACTTAAATGTGTGTGAATGCCCTTAAGCCCTGCGGACTTTAATGGAGCTATTCAGATGCTGAATGTTAGGCACATATTTAAATGGGCTGCGGGACTTTGTGCCAGTGGAGTGAGATCTATAGTGAAAGACTCAGATGATCAATTAACAGAGCCAAATATTCTAGTGTATGTGTCCACATGTAAAAACTGCTTTGGGGGAGTTGATGTTCATTCTCTGTAAAACAGAATTTAAGTGATCCTCAGATCACAGTAGCGAGGTGGATTCCATTCTGGACCCAGATAACTATTTTTTAACTGATGCACAAAGCAGATGTTGCGTTTAAAAGGGAATGCTCAGCCAATCTGGAATTAGTTAAGTATCTTTCAGAAAGCAATTGGAGCCACAAAATAATGCTCACAAATAAAAACTTCAAAAAAATTATTTGCAACATTCACTTCTGGCAAGAAAATTTAGCTGAGGAAACCCTGCAAGCAAAAACTGTAAGACAGTCTACTACTACAGGTTGGGACGGCACCCAGTCTTTGTTAAGTGCTTCAGTTTCTCTCGAGATTTAGATTAGCTGTGCTGGAAACCTGGAAAACAATATTTTGGAATTGATCCATAAAAAAATTTAGAGATAATGTGGTGGGCCTTGCAGGGGGAAGGGGTTGCCTGTTGCCCAGGCATTGATCTGCAGCTCTGTCTCACTTCTCTGCATCCACATAGTGTTTGCAGTGACCAAAAATTTACAACTTCTGGTGAACTTTTGGTGATGTTTAGGGAATCAACTTAGGGACACTTTCTGTTCTCAGGCTGCCATTGCAGTGGGTTCGTCTTAACCATCTCCACTTGGAGGTTCAGCTGGGAGACCAAGCATGTCATAAGAACTTTTGAACTTTAGGAGAAACACTTTTCTAACTTGAAGGTTTACAAGTCGCCTAACTTACTCCTGAAAACCTTGTTCATGAAAGACAGCTACACCCTCCCACCCAAGTCTCTGTGAAACTCACATTCTGTCCTGTCCTGCCCATGCTGTGCAAATTTCAAAGTACCTTGAAATCAGGTTGTGTATCAGTAACAAATCTCAAAAGTATTTCATTTCCTGAGGCATGAGGTGGTCCCATGAGAGTCATGGCATGGGAGATACCTCTGGCTAGACAGGTCCTGTGATGAGGAGCAGAGCCTCCATATGCCTTCTCACAGTGCTTTTTAGGGGTAGATTCCTCAAACTGGCACTCCTCCTGCTGCCTCTGCTCCTGCTGCAGGTGCCCAAGTGTCCAGGCGCATCCAAGATGAGATCAGAGGTTAGGCTGATTGTCTGCGTCCGGAAAATTGAGCTGTGGAATGGCAAAATGGACAGTGTTGCAAATTCATGAGAGGGAGGAGTAGCATGGAGGAATCAGGGGGTGGAAATCATCCGTATAGATCGCACACACCATATGTGGGACCATAGGTCTGCAGGACTGCGCTTGGGTGCCGTGACACCTTCATGTCAGCCTGTGTCCTCACCTGCCCTCCCATGGGGGACCTGCATAAAAAGATTTTGGCATAGCTTTGGTGGGCAGATAAAACCCCATGGATGCTAAGACCAGAGCTGATCAGAGATGCCAGCACGCAGGGCAGATTTCTGGGGTCCCAGCTGGCTGGGAGGGATCCTGAGTCAGCTGCTGTATGTACACCAGGCACACCAGGCATTCAGTGAGACTGACACTGGAGATGAGTGGGAAACTTGAGAACGCAGCTAAAATCTGACATCCTGAACTGCATATCCTCGCCATGTGTTACCTTGGGTCAGGTTCGGGTTTTGAGTAGAGGGACTCTGAATGTCATTCATGCTGCCAGCTGCCTGTGGCACCACGTCCTAGCGTGCAGACAGCCTGTAAACCCCTTTCCCTTCCGTCTAGCAGAATGGGATAAATCACAGTCCTTCGACAGTTCCATTCAATGAGCCCTAGAGATCATTGCTGGCCTCTCATACGGAAGGTCTTGTAGAGCTACCAGCCAGGAATTCAGGTCTAGTATCTGAGTGGACAAAAAAGACTGAGGGAAAAGAAGTTGGTGCCACTCCGAAGGGATGATGGAGATCAATTACCAGAAGAATCACTGCCGCCAGAGAAGTCTTTATTTCTCAGGCTCTGGGAAACACCCTGGCCAGATTGTGATGGAGATTGGCTGCTACCCTCCTCATATTAATTTCTTCAGTTAAATGGTTTCTTCTGAATATGTGAATATAATCAGCGGAGTGTGTAAAGCCCCCAGGTTTGACCCTTGCTGGGCTCAATGCTTGCTTATGGTATAACTTTCTCAGGCATAACACAAATGTGTAATGGATTAAAGCTTTAATAGTATCCGTTCAGCAGTTGACTTAAGCAGGTGATGACAAGAGGGGCTGGTAATGCTGCTTTTGTTGGATGAAGGATATGCTAGGCATGCTGCTTACGTGTAACCCTATAGCACTATTCTGTTCCGAGCGGTCCTTGGTGGTAATTATTCCCCATCCTACTTCCTTTGTCCCCCCCTGCCTTATTTGCCTCCAGAATGTCATTCTCCTGCTGAGGATGGGCAGGCACACACTTATCATTCCCTGCTGAGCTTGCTCGCCCTCAATAAATACATTCCAGGCTTATATTGAGGGCCTTTGGCCTAGCTCTCCTCCTCTGCGTGGAGGGCATAATTCCCATTCTCCAGCCGGAGTAGGCAAGGCCTGGCTTCTTCACACCCCTCTTAGCAGTTACCAGCAATGCTTCCCTAGAAATTTAGAGATGTAGTACGCAGAAGGCTAACTCCGAACAGCAACAAAATACTGCTCCCTCATCTTCTGTTTGTTTAGCCCGCAGGGAGATCTCCATTTCCCTTGTTCATAACCAAAAAGGTATTTGCTGCTTGTCATTTCCAGCTCCTTGAACACACTCGAGAGCTGCAGCATATCTGTTTTCATGCTACAGAATAGTGTGCACAAGGACTTATTCCTGGTGTAAATCCATCTCTTGTTATTGCTCAGCCTTCAGACACTTGTAGCTGTGTTCTCATCGGAAGGCCTGGCCAGCAGCAGCTCTGTGTCACACACACAAGGAAATCCTGCTGCTATGTCTATGTGTGAAGCAGTAGAAGCCAAGGGGTTCCACGCCAGTTGTTTCTGGTCTGTCTGAATCCAAACTTCTGTGTTACAAAGCAAAACTACTGTTCATATGCCAAAGCCCATCAAGCATAGAAAAGCCCAGGATGCTGAGGATAGATCTCAGTTCTTCAGAGATTGGGGAAAATAACCCTTTATCAAATAGACCTTGCAGGTTTTAATAAAGCAGCTTCACACTTAGGATTGCTGTATGTTACCAGCAGAATAATCAAGCAATGAAAAGAAACATTCCAGCCTCTGGCACATAGGAGCTTTCCAGTATATGACCCACTAATTGTCTCATTCCTTGATCTGTGACAGATGAAAATTTAAGACTGTCTGTTCTAAATTGTCTCCCCTCTGTATAGTCATTTAGGTCTGAGTCTACCATCTGCTTTTCGGTTCAGCTTACTCGCCATGCCACAGATTGTACCGTATCACTAAAAATAAACCAGAGCAAGTGCTTCATTCATCCGCACGCACTCTTCTTTTTGGTACATTCTCCATGAAGCTGTCAATAGCTAGAAAGTGTACACAGGGTCTGCAGATTGCAAGAAGCATATACGTTTATCACAGTCAACATGATCACCCTGCACAGGAATTTATACTGCCTACAGCTTTCCTGGCAGCAGACCAGCCCTGCTGCTGTCATTGGCATGAATGTTCATCTTCAAACTTACATGAAAACATGCAGTGCAATGACACAAGTGGGGTCTAAACTGGGAGGCACTGAATATGTTCAAAGGGTACTGTGTCCCTTCAGGGCCTTGCAGGATTAAACACAACACCTTTCCTCCCATCTTTCCTCAGAAACGAAGATTTGTTAATTTGGAGACTTAATCCGGATTTGTAAATCTTAGCCCTTGTAAATTTTAGCCCTTAACCCGGAAATATCTGTCATTAACAATAAAATAATGATTTATCTGTTTGCAGTGAAACTTTATGCTTTAACAAGTCAAGTTATCAATGGTGAGATGCAGTTCTACGCCAGGGCCAAACACTTCTACCAGGAGGTGCCAGCCACTGAAGAGGGCATGATGGGAGACTACATTGAACTCTCCAAAACAGACCTTGAGTCCTCCAGGAAATTTCTCAGGAAATTTGTTGGGGTGAGTCATCTAATCACAACTTCCGAAAGAAACAGTGGTCATGTGTCCTAAATGGCATACATTGTCCCCAGTCACATTTTCAATGGCACCATATGTCATATTTCCTGTGCATGAAGCTCAATCACAGGTCATAATTGCCTTTCACTGTGTCCAGTAACATATAATTTACCTGAATTCTACTAGATCACGCATAAGAAAGAATATACATTTTGCCTGACCATATGTCATTATTAACCTGCTTTGCATTCTTTTCTTACGCTCTGAAATTGCAAAGAGAATTGTGCAAAGGATTCTTCTAATTCGGCTTTGGTAGAGTATTCAATGCAATCTTTGCTGGCTTCAGTGGGAGAATTGCCTGTACAAATTCCAGCAATACATTTGGGAAAGCAGCTGAGACTAAATACCTAGTTTATGGTTTGCATATTTATTGATACTTCAAAGAAGGCTGCAAGAAAAAATATCCTGCTCCCAGTGTTAGGGATATACAGAATAAAGAAAAATTGGAGAAACCCACTAGGATAATTTTTTTTCTTGAACGTTGCAGTATTGATAAGGTCATTGCTCATTTGCAGGCAGATTTTTAACAGTGTTCAAAGGTTTGTTTTAACCTGAGATACAAAGGTTTTAAAAGCAGTATGAATAGCATTTTTGTGCTTAGCTATCCAAAAATCCTATTCATGCCTAAATTCAGCTCTTGAAATCTGCAGATCAATAAAGTGCAGTTCAGTCACTTCCAACTACAGTTCCCCTTCCCAGAGAAAAAGCTCAACAACTGTATTAGATGCTAAAGAATCCACAAAGCCAAGGGCTGCAGTAAACCAAGTTTTGTTCACAAAATGTTCTGTTCACAAAATGACTAGTTCCATATAATGTTATCGTAGATCTTTCATTGTGTACTCAAATGTACAAATTTGTGGTAGCCACATGAGCTTTTTTTAGCCTTAAAGATCAGCTGTGGAAAAAAAAAACTGATAAGTTAATTAGATGTTGTATTAAAAAAAAAGGCAGAGTTTAAATGAATTGGAATGGAAACCAAGTGTGGCTTAACAACAGATAGAATTCGTATATAACAGTGAAGGGAAACTGATGAAAAATTTACTGTACTTGATAGAGGCATCTGGGGCAATGTGTCAGGAAAACACAATTAATTGTGTGAACATCTGCAATATTTCTATTAATAGTCATTTGCATTAATGGTAACCCAAAAAGGCTTTACAACATCTCAAGTCCTTGGTGTGTTAGGCTTTCAACAGACACAAAATAAGAAAATATAAAGGAAGTTCAGTGAGGCAGCAAAGGAAGTTCAGTGAGGCAGCTGAGCCAGATGGCACTTTTACAGACAATGAAATATAACTTAAGAAGACTAAGGCCATCAAAGGACATTCGTGAAATTCAAGTGCCAGTGCTCAGGGGAAGATTTCACACTCCCTAGACTTCATACAGATCCACCTTCCTGAATGGCAAGTATATATCACAGTGTTACGCTTGGTCCTCTCCCAGGCCCAAACAAGGGAGAAGTACAGTCTGCAGCAGAGTTCTCTCAAGCTGAGAATTGGTCTGTAACCATGGTCTGCTACAAAGAGAAAGTCATACCTAATGCATCAGGTGTGATGACAGATACAAAATACTCCAGAGCAGAGTTCTCATTCCTGTTATTAGACAGGGGTAATCTGAATGGCTGAGATCAAAAAAAAGGGCAGAAAAAAAAAGGGATCTGCATGTTTTGCTATCTCTGACATCACTTGTTCAAGCCTGTCCTCTCTTGAGATGCAGTCAATTGGTTACTTACAGTTTATTTCTTTCTACTACTGCAATTTGAATCCTATTCAACCAGATAGAGATCTTTACAGGCTGTCTGTTTTAGTGGCCTTACTGTAAAGCCAATTTGGGGTATGTCTTCCCAAGATTATGGCTCTACAAATAATTTTTTTTTCCAATAAGGCTATCAAAACTTTAAGAAAGTGGTTCATGCCTAAACTATACCTAAACCTAAAGTATATTTTCTTTCATATATATATAGACAAATGCTGTTTTTTTAAAGATAAGAAATTTAAAAATATCAGAACATAGGAAAATTACTTTCAGATCAAGTGAAAATATTTTTCTTGATTTTGGGTTTGTTTTACCCTCTGAAAAACTTTTCCCTTTGTTTTCAAGAAAAAAAGTCAATTCCAAAATGAAAAATGCTGATTAGGAATGGAAAGTGGACAAGTTATTTTTTTCCTTAAAAGTCACCATAAAGAAGCGTCTTGACATTTTCAACATTTTTTGCCAAGTTTTTTGGCTATAATTATAATCTAGATTTGAGATACCAGTTTCACAGATAGGTTTGTTCTTCCAAAACTTTATTTTCTGGCAAATTTAGTGTTCCTTAACAAACAGTTGCCCTGTTCCACTCGAATTACTCCTCTTGAGTTAGTTTGGCTAGTGTGGAAATGCCACGCAGTGACATTTCTCTCACATGACTGGTACTGCATACCTTCATGTAAGGCATTTCTTAGCATGGCTCTTAGCACCACTATAAACTGAGCCTTGGATTTCTTTCCTGTTGGAGAATTTATCTTGCCTGGCCACACAGAAGGAATTTCAGAAAGACACTGGAGGACTGAGGACTTCAGTTATATTTTGTCTTGTCTCGCTTCGCAGGTGAGTCAAAGTGAGTCAGAAGTGCCGCTGTGCTCAAGCAAATAGGTTTTATGTGCATGTGGGCAGATCTCAAAATGTTGCTTGAATCTCAAAAACATTCAAGTCAGAACCTGAGCCAGCAGTACCGTACAGACAAGCTGTAAGTTGTCCTACATGCAGCCCGTGCATGAAGGGTTATCAGCAGAACCAGATCAGGGACTATTTATGGCAGTGTGTTTATGGCAGTGCCAAATCCAGAGGTGGCCTGTAAAAAGGAAAGAAAGAAACCAAAAAGCCATTAAGTCAGGAACAGCTGTGGGCTACAGATGTGTAAAGTGCTACAAGAGATGATTATCCTCAGAACTGCCTCTCTGCCCTTTTCACGGGTCTGCACAGTTACTGCTGAACAAAAAGTTTCTGGAGAACGATTTTGCCCTGATCATGGAGATGGGAGAGATTTTGTTTAAAAACTGCAGAAAAGAAATGGAAAGAAAGCCTTTTACCTGTGCTTTTTAGCTGTGTCTTGAGCTGTGATTTCTTCTGTTTCGCTGTGTCTTGAGCTCTCATTTCTTTTTGCTCTTGAATATCTACATTGTCTTCCCATCCTCCCAAGACCTGAAGTAATAGCATAAGGAATGTATGGCACAGCTGTTTTATCCCCAGGGAACCTCTTCAGTGCCCCATTCAATTTTTCAGCAGAACTTCTGATAGTGTACATTTCCTAAACGATAGTAATACTTAGCAATGTGAAGCAGATAATCAGAGGAGCAGTTAATCTTAATTTTTGAGCCTGCTCTAGCTTAAATTTTTCACTTAAACTGTTTTATTTTAAAATAAGAAATCTGATTTTCAACTCAATTAGGCTTTTAGGAAAATGATTGCCTTCCAAGGAAAACGTTAATACCCTGTCGAAGCTCTGAGCACTCCCAAACTGAAAATATATTATCTGACCATGAAGTTATGTCAACATTTTCATTACAAACAGGGTCATAGTGCTTCACAGGGCTTCTAGTCTGGTTGCCATTTGTTCTTGCTCTCTGTCACAAAGTATGGATCAGGCTTCATCTCCCAAGACTGTCCCCTTTCCTGCTTCTCAATAGCAAATGGGGATTTGTCATCAGGCGTCCTTTCCATGGTACATCAAGGGAGATGAAGTCCCTGGATTGAAGAAGGTACCCTAACTACCTTCCCTGAACACAGGTATCCAAGGCAAAACACGGGGTTTTGTCTAATTCTATTAGCCTTTTGGATACATAATGCCTATTTTCTGACCAGCTCTCATAAGGCATAATCACATGAGCCTAGGCCTGTATGGATCTGTCAGCAGACAATATGGAGATCTTTGTAAAGATTCAAGACACAATTCCTTCTCCTTTCATGAATTCCTTGCTACAACTTAGTCTATTCCTCAGTAAATGTCTCAGTAAATTCTTTGGTGCAGCCTATGTATGAAGAATAATTTACATTTTTTAGCTAACTACAAGCAGGTAATCTCCAGAGAGGATAGGCCTGAAGACTGCTGAGGATAGGCCTGAAGACTGTTGAGGACGCTTGTGCACACCAGGAGATTAATCTTTCTGGGTGCACAAATTGGGCCCAGCAGCCTGGTGACTGGTGAGAGCCCTTGGGGTCCTTGTGCTCTTTCTACAGTTACTCGGTGTAACCGGATGCTCAGCCAGGCTATTCATAGTCATGTCATTGACAGTACTGTCCTTTGACCTTAATAATCTACTGAATTACCCACTGAAGCAAGGCCAAAAAAGCAGTGAGGTACATGATTTATGCTTGGTGATTATGGAGAGGGGTCTCCTAATAAGCAGAAAAAGCTAAACTCTTCCTGAGCTTATTTCCTTTAGGAGCAGTGAAGCTGCAGCAGGAGGATGTTGGCCCTTAACTTTCATTTCAACTTTCAGTTCCAGAGAACAGGGAAAAGGTGTTTACATTTGCCTTTAATATATTTGTTTAGCAGATAACTTTGGCTAAGGGAGCTCCAGACCCACAGTCAATGACTGTGCAGCCTTAAAATTTCTGTTTTACAGAACAGCATCAAGCTCTTAAAAGCCTTTTTTATAACTAGAATGGAAGCTTTAGGGATTTTCATTATAAAGCCCCTTTTCCAGTGACTTGTTATTTTCTCATGGGCATACCCTTTGTGCCACAATTTTTCATGTCTGATCTCAGTCCAGAGACGATATTTATAAAGAAAAAAAGAGAAATTATTAAGTAAAATCTAATAAATCATCATCTTTGTCTCTAGATCTAAAAAAGAAATTCCGTATACGCTTGAGTCCAAATTTCTTGTGTTGTTGTAAATTATCTACTGCTCTAAGATCTTTGTTCAAAAACAGCTTGTTTTGAGAATTGAACTCAAATCTCCAGGACAATCTGTACCTGTAGTGGTGTTTGTGAGCACCTTGGAAGTTTTATACTCCTCAGGTTAATTCTTGCATGCAGTATACAGTACGTGCTCATTTTTAAGCCTTCACTGGGCTTAGAATGAGACTTATCTATGTAATTAGATATGAAGTTGCTTGACTGATGAACCTACAAGGACATCATGAAGATTAGGTGATCTTCTGAGAAGGCTATTAACTTGTGAAAAGGTTATGTCTCTTCTTACACGAATCTAAAACTTACTGTACAGCAATGAAAGCAGGAATGCAATGAAGAAATTCCATCAAGAGCAACCTTTGTGTTTTTGAGGTCTGTAATATTGCGTGATTAGGCTTCCCATCACTCTTACTATGTACGAAAATATAGGTCTCCCTTCTCCCAGAAAAGAAAGCTGAGTCCCAAACTGCAATGAGCCTCCCAAGCAAAGGAGTGCAGTTTTGAGGAATATGGCTTCTTCGTTATTTGCAGGGTTTGTTGTTGTTGTTGTTGTTTTTTGAATATCTCTTGGGAACAAAACTGTGCCAGGTTAATTCTTCGTGTCCCTCCTAAACATGGTTACTACAGAGGGAGAAATTTAGAGAGCCATTTGAAGTTGGTGCAGTTTGAACAAGACCCTTCTTGCCTGTGTAAAACCAATAAAGTATACTTAAAGTGAAGGCTCTGTAAAGGATGCAGGGAGCTCCTTACTGGTAGATATCTGAGCCACAAATAATGGCTCACTGATAATCTGAACAGATCATTTAAGTCTGGTAATAATAATATTTGCAATTTTACAGACCAAGAGCAGTAGAATTCTGGGCATGACCCTGCACATGAAGCAGGATTGCCACCTGCCAGGATGGTTTATGTTCAGATAAACGAGTGTCTTTGGTTGAGTTACACATTCAGAGCCTGCAGCAAAGGCTGCAGGATTAGGCACCACATGAGCAGTGGCTGCTGGATACCTGGGGTGGTGAGTATGGAAGTGGGGATGCTGGGGAGGGCAGCCTGGTGCAAACTCCTTGGCTGATAGGAGTGGGGCAGGGAGGGAATCCGGCTGGAGAACTGGGGGAGATCTGTTTTCACTCCTTCTTCCTATTGGTGCTCAGTGTGCGGTTCCGTAGGACACCAGGCTTCACTTTCAGCTAGGGGTAAGTGAAGTTGGAAGAAAAATGAATCAAGACATTCTCTGAGAATATAGCAACCAGCCCTGCTCACTCAAGTGCTCAAAGCCTGCTTTTTAATTCTGTCCCACGTTGTGGTGTCTTGCACAAAGGAGATAAGACGCTAAAGCCCCTAGGTGGTAAAGTTGCTGTACATCTTCCAAGTGGTATTTTTCAGGT